CACTAACCATATCATAATTAACCCGGTACAGTTTGTATCCGGAACAGACTATTGACAAGCAAATGTTTTGACTGCACTAACCATATCATAATTAACCCGGTACAGTTTGTATCCGGAACAGACTATTGACATGTAAAGGTTTTGACTCCACTAACCATATCATAATTAACCCGGTACGGTTTGTATCCGGAACAGACTATTGACAAGTAAAGATATCGACTGTACCACCACATCATAATTAACCCAGTACGGTTTGTATCCGGAACAGACTATTGACATGTAAAGGTTTTGACTCCACTAACCATATCATAATTAACCCGGTACGGTTTGTATCCGGAACAGACTATTGACAAGTAAAGGTATCGACTGTACCACCACATCATAATTAACCCAGTACGGTTTATATCCGGAACAGACTATTGACAAGTAAAGGTATCGCCTGTACCACCACATCATAATTAACCCAGTACGGTTTGTATCCGGAACAGACTATTGACATGTAAAGGTTTTGACTCCACTAACCATATCATAATTAACCCGGTACGGTTTGTATCCGGAAGAGACTATTGACAAGTAAAGGTATCGACTGTACCACCACATCATAATTAACCCGGTAGGGCTTATATCCGGAACAGACTATTGACAAGTAAAGATTTTGATTGCACTAACCACATCATTTAAAGCAATAAAAAAAGATGTTATAAAAGTTGTGAAAACACGTTCTACGATTTTTATAGAAAATAATTAAAAAACTGTCTTACTAACGACAGCATCTTGTTGTGTAGAAACGGTATACTGGTAGTGAAATAATAAAAAGTTCATTTCGCTTAGAAAAATCAATCCAAGCCATTGGTATCAGTAAAAGACACATGTCAGTAAAACTTCAGAACAAACCGAAACAACCAATCATGAGCCTATTTTCTCTAGAAGTTTTAGTATTTTTACTTTAAAACATTGAGAGTTTCCTGACACAGCTGCCAATCCTGAAATTGTGATATTGAATAGTGCTTTCTTCAAATATTAAAATGAAAATTAATTAGCAGCGTACCCCGGATCTACAGTTAAAAAGGAACGACGAATTCCAATTATCCTCTTCTTTAGGCTACAGCATATTTTTCGTTCTTAGGAACTGGGATTTCTTGAAAAGTCACGTGTTATCATACGACCAATTAAAACCTCAACTCAATGACTTCTGACAGTTTCCAATTTTCTAAACTGTCTGGTTTTCTTCTACCCACGTCATGAACAGCTACATTATTGTTACTAAGGTGTACATGTGGTATCATAAGATGTTATTATGTCATATGTGTGGTATAATACAATGGTAATAAGTCATACGTGTGGTATAATACAACATTAATAAGTCATACTTGTGGTATAATACAACATTAATAAGTCATACTTGTGGTATAATACAACGTAATGTGCTCACCTTTCACGTTGTCAGTAATGTGCTCACCTTTCACGTCGTTAGTACTGTGCTCACCTTTCACGTCGTTAATAATGTGCTCACCTTTCACGTCGTTAGTAATGTGCTCACCTTTCACGTCGTTAGTAATGTGCTCACCTTCCACGTCGTTAGTAATGTGCTCACCTTTCACGTCGTTAATAATGTGCTCACCTTTCACGTCGTTAGTAATGTGCTCACCTTTCACGTTGTCAGTAATGTGCTCACCTTTCATGTCGTTAGTAATGTGCTCACCTTTCACGTCGTTAGTAATGTGCTCACCTTTCACGTCGTTAGTAATGTACTCACTTTTCACGTCGTTAGTAATGTGCTCACCTTTCACGTCGTTAGTAATGTGCTCACCTTTCACGTCGTTAGTGATGTGCTCACCTTTCACTTTGTCAGTAATGTGCTCACATTTCACGTTGTTGGTAATGTGCTCCAAAGCTGTGATTAGGCGGAACGGCTATTGGGAGAGAAAGATACTGGGTTGCTGGACTCATGTTACATCTGTTTTATGGTATACAGACTTCCACCATCACCAGGACACACTCTAACCATTTCAAAATCTTACAGGCAATATTTAATTAATGCTACTGACTAGGACTGGGATTCATTCGAGTGCTGGACTTAACTAGAAATCATTCGAGTGCTGGACTTAACTAGAAATCATTCGAGTGCTGGACTTAACTAGAAATCATTCGAGTGCTGGACTTAACTAAAGTTCATTCGGGTTTTAGACGTAACTAGAGTTCATTCCAGTGCTGGGTAGATTACATGAAGCAAAGATTTGATTCCAGGGATGTCATGTAATAGACGAGCATTAAATACTAATGTTTTGCCTGTTCCTGTGCAGCACGAGTCATCTTAATGAAGTACGGTGAAGTAAGTGTTCCAATATAGATACGTTATAATATTCATTAGTCGATATAAATACGTAACGTTTTTGTAAACATATCACAAGTTAACATATAGGTCTACACACGTTAGTAGCTCTCATCATGTGACATGTCTCAACCAATGATTAACATCTAGAACGGAATCTATTCTGAAAGACTGAGATTTTAAACACTTTTTTGTAATGTAGAAACGCAGGCGTCGTCTGTTGTGATTTGCTGTTTTACTTTCATTAATAACTGATTTTACTTCATAAAACATTCTATCTAGTTTCTGTTTTCAATCCAGTCAAACTTTCATTTTTTGTTTTGCAGTGCATTTGCCGCCTTTCATGCAGTTATCTGTGGTTACTTTCCTTATCTATAAGGTTATTAGACAGTCTGATATCTTGTCAAAGTAAACGGTGAGGTTAAAATGTGGTGCTGTGGCCACAGGATTTGTTTTTGTGGCGTTTTCCTGATTTTATTGTTGGATTATTTTAGTAAAACTTGAAAATTACATTTTTCAGACGAACTTAGACACAAGGGCAGTAGTTTGACTCCATGCATGTAATAAGGTTTAGGCGAAATCTCTCACTGGAAATTGTCCGCTTGTCAATGATGCAAAGGACCCTGTCTACATTTTCCTCATGAAGTTGAATTGCATCCTGGGACCTCTAGAATAACTGATCAGGTTCTACACATGAGCGAAACCTTCGGCTCCGATAAAGGAAGGTCATAATCATCTGATGTTCCCGAGGGCAAGTGAGGAGGTCTCTACAGAACAGCCTGAGGGCAAGTGAGGAGGTCTCTACAGAACAGCCTGAGGGTAAGTGAAGAGGTCTCTACAGAACAGCCTGAGGGCAAGTGAGGAGGTCTCTACAGAACAGCCTGAGGGCAAGTGAGGAGGTCTCTACAGAACAGCCTGAGGGCAAGTGAGGAGGTCTCTACAGAACAGCCTGACTGTTACTGATCATGAAACTTTAACTCCAACCATAGACATTGTCACGCATGATATACAACCATGTTATACTACCAGGAGACACAGTTGCTGGTGGAGGAGGAAGTTCATCAGTTGGAACTGTTATACTACCAGGAGACGCAGTTGCTGGTGGTAGATGAAGTCCATCAGTTGGAACTGTTATACTACCAGGAGACGCAGTTGTTGGTGGAGGATGAAGTCCATCAGTTGGAACTGTTATACTACCAGTAGACGCAGTTGTTGGTTGAGGATGAAGTCCATCAGTTGGAACTGTTATACTACCAGGAGACGCAGTTGTTGGTGGAGGATGAAGTCCATCAGTTGGAACTGTTATACTACCAGGAGACGCCGTTGTTGGTGGAGGATTAAGTCCATCAGTTGGAACTGTTATACTACCAGTAGACGCCGTTGTTGGTGGAGGATGAAGTCCATCAGTTGAAACTGTTATACTACCAGTAGACACAGTTGCTGGTGGATGAAGTCCATAGTCCATCAGTTGGAACTGTTATACTACCAGTAGACACAGTGAACTAGTAATGTTGTACCACACTTATAATCTAGTAATGTTGTATCATACCACATGTATGACTTATTAATGTTGTATTATATCACAAGTATGACTTATTAACGTTGTATTATACCACACGTATGACTTATTAATGTTGTATTATATCACAAGTATGACTTATTAACGTTGTATTATACCACACGTATGACTTATTAATTAACGACGTGAAAGGTGAGCACATTACTAACGACATGAAAGGTGAGCACATTAATAACAATGTGAAAGGTGAGCACATTACTAACGACATGTATTTGTAAGATTCTGATGCTGGTTGGTTTGTCAGGTTAACCCTGTTTTCGGTGTTTGTAAGTTTCTG